ACGAGCAGCACAGGACAACAAAACCTTCACCCATTTCTATCTGAGGTGAGGTATGCCCAGGAAATACCCACAAAAATGGGCGACTGGTGAAGGATATTAATGTACTTTACCTCACTGAAACAGCAATACAAGGCTCTTGTAGAAGCAATGCAGCAGAAAGCCACCGTGTGTAGCTACAATGCTCTAAACTCCTGAATTCTGGCCAGCGACCAGACCAGGCAGTTGACCAGCCAAAGCCAAGTCAAAAACATCCTCCCAACCTGCAGACGCTTTACCTTCCTGCTTCAGTCTGACCCTGTTATTTACACTATTACTTCACCAGTGTTGGTATGTCATCAACTAGGACAGGGAAAATAACAACGATCCCAAGTTGATAGTTACCGGCTTCTGTTCCATTCAGATTTTACATGACTTGGTTATGTGTGGCCACATCCTCCACACAACAAACTCGGGAAGAGGCATTGTAGGAAGCGAGCAGTTGCCTCTCTCCAGTGTAGTTTTAGAAGTACACAGCAACTGTGCTACCAATGGACATTTTTCAAACAGACAAAAAAGAGCCAGTCTTCATTTTGGTTTTTGGCTGGTTATTTTACTATTTGCTTTACTACTGCATACTGCTCCCACGCTAATTGTTCTCTTACCCCCCAAACCTCTGACCATTGCTAGCAGAAGCTGACAACAGCAAACCCTTCCCTCAGGCTCAGCTGTTAGCGAAAACTGAGGTGGGAGAAAGAGCCTTTTGGCAGAACTGTGGTCACCTGGCAGCGCCCTGTAAGGAGCTTCACTGGATATTTCTGTTGTACGTCTTTTTTGATAGATGTGCTTGCAACCTCCAAGGTGATTTAAGGCAAGCACTGAACACCTGCTCCACTCCCCCCAGGCACAAGTTACTATCTCTCAGATGATTTTGGTGGACAGACCTTTCAGGGCCCCTCTCAGGTGGTGGCTTCAGCTGCGGAAACGCCAACCTGTCACAGGAGTGATGCCAACTGAAAGGCGGCAGGCACGGAGTCCCAAATTTCATGCTTGAACTTGTGTCCCATATGCAAGTATTTCGTAAGCCATCCAAACCTTTTGCCTTTAAACTTGGATCTTGAAAGACAACACCCTCTAAAGTTGTTATTTTACCACAACATAGCTTTTATTTTTGAACTCCATGGTGTATTGCACCAGTTAGTCTTGTATATCTGTGTGCCAATGGGTAATTCCACAGTCTTCCTTGGGTGCTGGAAATCTCTAAAAAACCAAGAATTGCTACCTACTGCTGTGACAAATCTGCCCCCTACAAGGAAGCTTGAATGTATCCATTATCCTACGTGGGTTTAAAGTAAAAAGACAATTACTTACCTGTTGTCCTTATGGCCAAGGTCACAAGCGTCAGCCACCAACACAAACGCCTGGCTGCAGAATTGCAAGGACAAGCCACACGAATGCAGTTTTGGATCAATGGCATCTCACGGCCCTCCCATTTAAGCACAAGGCAATCATCAACCCAAATCACACAAGAAAAAGGTTTATTGAAAAATAAAGTTCTCCCTAGTTTTTTTTTCTACAACAGTGAAAACAAAGCATTTTTCTATGCCATTAAAGTACAGACATTTACTCATCTAGAAAAAAAAAGTAAATGAAAAACCTTCCCATCCTATTGAACCCCAGGAACATGATGGTATCTGAACCACTGTGTTCTGTTCTTTCTGAATTAAACTGCTTGAACGTAATATACTGGAACACCACCATTTAAATAAAAAACAGAATTGACATTTCAGGAGAGAACTCAAACCAAACACACATAGCACCAGCCTGACCCTGAAGTTCTCATGTATGTATAAAAACTCTGTCTCCAGATCCTCAAAAAGCAGCAATCTTTTATTTTTACAGATTTCAGTAGTTGGTTTGTTTTTTTCCCCTAATTTGAAGTGCTGCAGAGATTATTCAGATTCTGACCCCTTCACTCATGGAGAAAGTTTCCTCCAGGGAATGATCCAGACCAGAAACAGCTGCCCCAATCTGTCTCTGCCCTCCTCTTTCCCTCTGCAGCCCTCAGCTGAGCAACCTCAGGGGGATCAACTTCTCCAGGCTCAAGTTAGCTTTGTAAATACTCCCTTATATTTTTCTTTTAGCTCTCCTAGAATCTTCAGGGTAATTCTTCTGATGGAATTCACTCATTGTTTCCTTTGGTAAAACCTGCCATTTCCTCCTCCTCTGCTGTGTTCCTCTGCAAAAAGCAAATAAACCCTTAAAAAAGGTCTTCGCTGTCACTCTACTCCAACAGATCCATTAATGAATGTAACAAATTAGTTCTGGGTATAACCCCATTAAAATTAACTGCCTTCACACAGGAATTTAACTTGATTTATTGTGTTCCTATTTGATACCTTGAACTACTTTGCAGCTGCTGGAATCCAAGCCAGGATGTGTTGCACGCCTTTTGCCAAGTGCATGGATGGCTCCATAAACGCCATAGCCTTATTTACATGCTCTCCTTAAAGCCAAAGATTTTGCTGGCTCCTGCAAGACCAAGCTGGCCCCGAATGGAGCAGCACTGGCCAAGGGCCGGTGTTTGCAGGCATGACAGCACAGCGCCAATACAGATGGATTTTCCCATACAGAAGAGGAGGTGCATGTTATCATGCTGTAAAACGCGAGAACAGCAAGCTCTGTGGTGCGTCAGCTCTGTGAGTCCCTACACAAGGTGACAAATTCTGCTCCCACACACTGTCCATGAAGGTTAAAGGGCACCTGCCCCAGACCCCCCAGAGAGAACGGTGTTACTTGAATTTTCCTAAAGCAGTTTCTGTGTGTAGAAGGTGGAGTTACTACTCATTTTGCTGAAGCTTTGAGGACCTGATTTTATTGACCCATTTAATAAACAAATGGCTCAGTGCTATTGAGAGAGGTCTGCTGAACTAGAACATGCTATTGTATGGTCAGAACTATATGAATATGCAAAGGATTACACCTACAAGATACATTGGCAACAGTTGCACTTTGTTGTTTTTCCCTGGAAGAAAGAACATGAATGATGCCTCCCACCTGAGGCATTCTGGGGTTCAACACATTCCCACAGTAAACATTTCACACTGGATACATGGAGTCTGGTCTTTACACATTCCATTTGAATATAATCGGAAATTACAAACTCGTTTTAAAAAACCCTCTAGATCTGCTTAAAAATATGAAGATGGGATTTAAGTCACTGCCCATAAACTGGCACGTTTCGATGTTACATTTACAGCAATATTATTAAAGCGTATCTCAATGCAGTCATGTCTGTCCCTGACCTTTTCAGCCTGAACAAAAGCATATGCCTGTCAGGGCAATCTCAGAAACTGGGACCACAGGAAAACTACAAATGGAAAGAGACCACAAGTCAAAAAGTTGAAGGCATAGCAGCGGTAGCATGAATGTCCCAAAGAAATAGCCATGCCAAAACGTTAGCACCCCCAGAAAACAGCCTGTGAAATTGGAAAGGCTCTTTAAAAATAAACAAATAAGAAACCAACAAATACCACAAACAAACAACAAACACCCACCCCCCAACTCCAAACTGTGCACTGAACAGCTATTTAACCGGGTTTTCACCTGATACTTTAACAGTAAGTAACATCAACTGAGTAAAAAATGACACATGCTGCAACAGCAAACAAAGCTGGCTGCTGATATGTGCACGACAGAAACTGCAAGTATTTGGTCTTGTAAGATACACTGCTTTGTGTTAAAAAGGGAGAGATGCTTTCTTAGTTTGAAGAAAAATTAATACAGGAGTTCTGCTATCACTGAAGCCACCAGTGGGAGTCATGAAGTTAATTAGACCTGGATGAGATTCTGTCCAGCCTGATCCATGCCATTTAATTTATTTTACTAGCAAAATCTGGTCCTGAAATGCACCATGAGCAGAACAAACACCTGAGAAAGCAATCTGGATTTTGTTTACATGAGAAGCGCTGCACACTCATAAATCATCTTTCTAATTTAGATGAGCCACTCACTTTTGCAAGGGAAGGGCATGCCTTTCCTGTCAAGGATAAACCAAGGACTTTGACTAGCATTATAAAGGACCCTAGTACAGTGTGATTAAGTGAGGAGAGAAGCCATCAGCTAACAACATGGATTTGTGGCTGATGCCAACAGAAACTCTCAGCAATTCTGAATGCTTGTCACTAAGCAAGTTATAAAAGCTGGCACAGGCAGTTGGGAGCAAAGCTGAGTGTGGAAGACCCTGAGTCCTGGGTCTCTACACAGCCTCATCAACTGAAACCTGAGTAGCAATTACTGTACAAAACACTCTTCTTGCAGAAAAGTAGTGGTATTAAAAAGAAAACCATCTTGCAACAAGCAGAATATCCAGAGTTCCCTCTGCACTAAGAGCTGTATCACAAAACAACTGTATTCTGGTAGCACCAGGAATCACCCCATGCACTTCCATGTCTTTAGCCAAAAACCCAATACCTCGAGCACGTTAATGCAGATCTTCAGTTTTTCTTCTGATCAAATCAGATAGTTTTCTGCTAGCAGTGTCTCCTCACGGAATGTAACAGCTTTAGCTTGCTCTCTGGTCATTAAACAGACAACCCATCCCAGCAGGAGCTCTCATGTCAAATTACATAGTAAAGGGACTTCTGCTTGCTGAAGTGACGTTTAGCAAGAATTAATAAAGTTATATTATCTTTTATCTTATTAATGCTTACCTTATGCTTCTAGAACATATTTCTCCACTACTTAAAATATCACTAAGTTGTAAAAGTCATCAAGCTCTATTCACCTGTCATTAGTGTTCCATTATACTTGTTCAGACAGTATCCATATTCCAAACACTCATCCAAACCCCAAAGAAAGTAAAAGGCACATAAACATTAAATATATGTAGGAGAAACATAATCTGATATAAACAAGCAAACACACTGCTGCAACTATAAATTAAAAAAAGAAACATAGAAACTAAGCAAAAAAAAAAAAGCAAAAAGCAACTCTATTTATACATGTGCAAATCAACCTGCATATATGAAATAAATGAGGTTTTTATTGGCATTTTCAAACAGTGTGTATTTACCAACTTTACCTTTCAAAGGCAAGCCTTTTCGGTTAATTTTAATAAATACGTAAATGCTTCTCTCAAGTTTTCTAATCTCATAGGAACAAGATTTTTGAAAACAACTCAGGTCACATACAAAAATACAAAATTTTAAAACAAAGAATGTCTTGATATGAGAGATATGTTTAAAAGCTTGGAAAATGATTTTATATTCAACTTTTGATGTCTTTTTTTCCCCTCAATCACTGATCAATATATTCAAATGCAAGTCATGCAAGAACCTGATTTCTGAGGAAACGAACCTGCAAGCTTTACTGTCCAACTGAAAAACAGCAGCACAGTCCCATCCCTAATATCCTTAAGTGCAAGAATTGGACTACACCTAATTCTTTTATTAGGAAGGAAAACAGTTATGGAACTCAGACAGGAGGCTGCCCTCTATCTTGAAATGTGGATATATATTATACCATTTAGTAAATCATTCACACTTTTATATAGTCTGACATGGATACGCCTGAGTGCTTATCAATGTGTGAACAAACACTGAGGTGTGTGATGGGGGAGTGCTGTATCAGGCTTAGACAGTGCTGTTTACAAAGTTTATGTGCTTACACTTCTCACAGGATAGTCTCCTCTTACAGAAATTTAGACTGAAACTGTCTTCAGAAAAGTAACACTTTTTATGAAAAGAGAGTTTAAAATTATTAATAGAGCCCTATCAAATTACAGGTCTTGATTCTTTTTTAAGGTTAATGAGTCTTCTCTATAGATTCCAGTGGAAATAGGATGAGACCCAACTGATTCTGAAGCCAGTTTAGATACTCTGTCCCTAGCTGAAATGCAAGAGGCATTGATGCTTGCCATTTCCTTTTTGCCAGTACACAGTAATTCACTTTAGTAGACTAGAAACAGTGCTACAGCATGAAAAAACAGCTTACAACAGACTCTCCCTGCTGTGGTAAAGGCAAATGTAGCACTGAGCAAAGCACTAGACCAGAAAATCTTAAAAACATACAAACCCTTCCATCTTTAAAGGTTTAGAGGCAAAACAAAATGCAGTAGGCCATGTGGACCATACAGTGTGTGTGTGGGAAACAAGCATATATGTATTTACAGCAAAGAATCACACTACAGCAAAAACTAAGGGTCTTGCATTCTTTAAGTGTGCACCTACAACTCTTTGTTCCCAACATACTTCGGTGCTCTCTCATTCCAAACTAAATTCCTGCTTGAAGAACCTCAGGTTGAACTGGTAAAGGCAAGTTCTGCTGTTGCCTTTACTTTCAGCACCAAGTATATACATATACTGTGATAGTCCAGATGTTCCAGTTGAGCAAATATGCACAGGTATATGGGGAGTATTTTATATAAATACAAAGTGAATTGTTGCACCTGTTCAGGCTGATTTACAATTCTTCTCCCCCAGCTTTACCAGGGTATTAAAACTGGTGCCTATGACATTTGTGCTGACTGAAGCAAATGCTGAGCTATGGTTACAGTAAGGATTTCCGTACTTGTTTGTTTTCTTTTCATACAAAAAGTTTGCCACCCATTATAGCACCAGCTGTTCTGTTTCTGGAAAATGACTCTCAAATACAGCAGATTTTATCATCATCACAAGCCAGTTATGGGTAACCCTGCTCTTCACCAGCTCCCACTTATCTTTTTTGGATACGCGACAGTCTCTTAGGATTAAGATACTGTGGAGCCCACAGCAATGTTACGGGATGTAACAGGGAAACTGAGTGCTGACACAGGAAAGAAAAAGCTTGGAAGTCTAATACAATGCTTTTAAATTGAAAATTTAAATACATATACTGTTCTGTTCTCTTGTCTGGAGAATTTATCCGCAACGAAAGAGCATTTCCCTTGCTTGGTCTTTGGTAGGTCAAGAGATACACTGATATTCACACACAGGTAATGAACGCTGGTTACAAGAAAAATCTGAACCAACCAGATACATCCAAGAAAGGAAAATTCAAAGTATCCATGCTTGTCAGTATTACCTGGTTATGCTTGTTAATCTTTATGGAAAACCCCTTCACACTGGTATGAAGTTTTTTTCCTGCATGGTCAAAGCATGTCCAAATTGTAAACCTGCAGACTGTGACTGCTTTCAAAATACACTGCAGGTTTGTTTCTTTCTAATCTTAGCATATAATTTCCTGACTACAAATGGTGCTGTCAAGCATGCCACCTTCTGCTGAAAGTAACAAAAATTACCTCTATGAACCATGACAGTTCAGAAGAGCTAACTTGCTGCTCTAAAACAAATGAAGTTTGATTTGAATTCCAAACTCTTGAATTGCTTTATTCTAAATGTGTAACTGGTGTGCCTGCTTAATAAAAAAAAAAAAAAAAAAAGAAGGAAAAAAACCCCCAACAAACCAGAAACGTGCCCCAAACCAGAAAAACAACCCATGAGACTGATCAATGCTTTTCTTAGCAGTTGTTTGTCTCCTCTTACTTGATCTTCAGAAAAGATTTCTCTTTAAAACCTACCTAGTTATGAAGACATTTTACATTTCTACCATACAATAATTATAGTTAGCTTAGTTTAACCTTTCTATGTCATTCAGCAACACTTTAACTACTGGAAGCCATAACAGACTGAGGCTCTAATGATAATATTGCTCCAATGATGCTGAATACTTTTTGCTTCACACAGTATTTCTAGTAGACAGACTATAACAGAAGCATGGGCAAATTCGAAGTATTACTCTCTAAGTGGGACCAGTAAACTGTGATGAGTCCATTCCCAAAATGGCAGTATGTTTGTGTAGCTTTTCCACATTGAGGAATGTCACAACTGTAGTCAGTTGTCAAGTCACCGAGATGTGTCAGACGCTGGCAACTGCTTGTTTGCTCATTCATGATACTCGGGTTAGACTGCTCTGATGCAGCAGCTCTGATGTAGACAATGCCTTGTTGCATACAAAGATAAAAAAAAGACAAAAAAAGAACCGGGCCCAGCTAACCCAAGAACAGGGTACAGAGTTATGAGTCCGAGTTCTTGTGAAGTAAACAACTTCATAGCTGTTCACACTAAAGCAGTACCCAAACCAGTGCACTTAGAATAAAACATCAGTCCTCCTGCCCCTGCACCCCTGCTGTCAAGCACACTTTTCTCAATTTCCTACTGGAATGAAGTTGAGCTCCTTTAGCTAACCATGAGGGGGATGGCCTAACTCATTACAAAAATAGAAAACACTTCACCCAAACAACAACAACAAAAAAGGAGTTTGACGGGTCTGGGAATTTTCTACAAACTATTCTGTGCAGTCATCTTCAAATCACTGTAGAACATGAAACCCCTTTCTCTTCGCAGCCACGTGAAGGAATCTGAAGAGTTGCACTGCAAATGTTCTTATAGGAAAAAAAGATCAGTTAGCTGTTTGTTATGAATCCCTCCTCTCTTAGTAGATGATTCTGCCCAGCAATGATAGCTCTGCCTGCAGCGAAAAACCTGGACAAAAGTGCAGGAAGTAATAAGTAGCTCCTCTCAAAACTACTTACATTTTGTTCTCAACTCAAAAGAAGCTCTGCTGCTGCTATAGGCAGTCTTTACAAAGTGCAACCTGCCCCTTAATATAGTCTCTGCACGGGCAGATTCTTCTGTGCGTGGGGTGGGATCCAGCACAGCTGAACAATAAGAGATCACCCTGGAAAACACAGTGCTTCCTTCTTCCATCAAAAGAGGGGACCAGAATATCATTTGCAGACTCCATGGTGAGACATTCGATATTATGCCTAAAAAGCAAAGCAAATGATCTATATCACTGTGGAGTTTACAGTTTTACAGTACAGTTTTCATCCTTCATTGCTAAAACAAAAATAAAATGCTGTATTAAATCCTAAATCAAGTACACTTAAGAGTTGCAGATTTCCAGAACTCATTTTTTTCTGCTTGCACGGATTCTCTCTGCAGAGGGCAGTACAGCCTTTGCTGCTTTTCTAAAGACTCATGAAACATGTTAAAAAGGAAAAAAATGCTTTTGAGTATTCCCCAGAGCACAGTCCTTAAAATACACCATGGATTTCTAGTAAGACAAAACCAAAGAGTATGAAACTGGGAGATACCCTCATTGATTTCAGCAGGGAAGTCCTGCAGGCGAATCCCACCATGCTAGGCAGCCTTGGACAGCTTGAGGTGAGGTAGCTCAGCCAAACTATGAAGATGAGGCGATGCTGCTGTGCAGCAGAAGCTGGTCAGTGTGGGACCTGCTGCTCTGGGGAGCCAGCTAGTGCAGGGCAGCTGAAAACATTAAAATTCCAGTTGCTGTTTTCTGACCACAAAGCTTAAGCACGAGGGTAGCACTTGCAGTGGGGGTTTGTTTTTCACTTATTCTCGAAACACTGGTAGCTTTCAGCATTTAACAGGGCTTTTCCCACAGAATTATAATGTTGTCTAGACAGCTAGAAAGGAAGCCTGACAAAACTTTTCTATGAGCTGCTTCTGAATTCCACTGGGAATTACAATTTTTCAAATAAAATACAAAAATAAAAACATTCTAGAGTTTAATTTGGCAAAAAAGTGGAGATAGAAAACCTAGAAAGCAGATTCCCGAAAAGCCGTTGGTTGGAGCCCAGCTTTGAGTGCTTTGTTTTCATTCTGAAAGGAACACAGACATATTCCTAAAGAGGCAGCACCTGAAAGCAACATTAATTTCCTTAATGCATAGCTGGTAAGCTTCACAAATTGACACTACCTTTCATGTGCAAGGGTTTGCAATTCTTTATGTAGGACAAAACCGACAAAAGGTTTGCAGAAACAGTAACTGCTAACTGCCAGTGAACATAGATGCTTCAAGATGGATGTTAATCGTGACCAAAGAGGAAGCTCAATAAATAAAAGCAATGCTTTATAAGTGCTATATTTAAAATCATGTAAACAACTGACAGAAATCACACAGTATGTACTGAGTTCTATTTACTGCAACAAAATGGATTTCATTTCTGACCCAGCTGACTGAGCACAACTAGGATTAGCGTTCAGAGTCATGGAAGTTCACTAACTCTCAGAAGGATATGGCAAAAGTTGTAGCGTAGTGCACCTGCTCAGCCAGGGCTGCACCAGGTCCATCCAAACCCAATTACAGTCCTGGCATCTGGGATCCCCACAGCACAAGCATCTTTACTCAGTGCAGAAAATCCAACATCAAAGGGTGCCACACAGTGAGCACACACAGAGATAAGGAGGAAGGAAGAGATGTGAATTTTTGGCCTTGGTACTGTCTCACTGCAAAAACACATGCTATGTGGAATGGCACTCTCAGCACAGCAGTAGCTTCTACCATCCATTGCTATGAAGGACTGAGAGCTAACCTCACAGCTTGCTGTTGCCAGCCAGCCAGCCAGCACTCCTCTCCCCACCTTCCCTTCTCACAGAATTTGTACACTAAACTTCATGTGTGGCAAAACCCAGTGCAATAAAACAAGACCAAGTAGTATGTTCGTGCTTTTCAGTGCTTACCTAAGTAGAGCTTTGTCCTTGTTGAGATGCTGAAAGAAGGAAGGCTCACAGATGAGCTGGCTTTCCTGACAAACTTGTTTACAGGATTTTCCAGGTTCAGCAATTTTTACTTGAAGAGCACTTAATGGGGGCCACATCACTTGCCCATGACAAAAATCCTGCAGTGACAGATCATATTTTATTATGATGCATCAGGCCCCTTGAAAGTAATTTTTCCCATTAGTAAAATAAGTAGTTATTATCACCCACTCATTTTGCAGCTCTTGTGGTCATATCAAAATCATTAATTTAAGCACATTTAAAAAGAACAGGTTTTTTTTTAGCATGAGGGAACTGTCACCTTTTATAGCTACTTGAAATGTGGTACTATCGTTCTTACCAAAGAAGCTTCTTCCCTAGTTTCACCATTTTTAATTTATCACAAACAACTCTAGCTAGTATTTATTTCCACACACCGAACCCATTTTGGCTTTCTCAGTGATTCCTGTTTCACTAACTTGGTGCTAGCAGAACTGTTTTCTTAGTTATATATTTTCTCAGAGATACTTAGCACAGGGATCAGGAGGAAGTTCTGGTAAGAGAATTCCAGAGGCCTGTTACCTGCTAGGTGAGAAATGTCTCAAGTGGCCCATGTGGAGAGCCATGTCGAAAGGATCAGTGGCCAACTCTGGAACCCACATAGGGCAATCTAAAAGTTATATCATATAGCTAAGAGCACTGTTCAAATGCTTCTTGAACACTGACAGGCCTGGGGCCATGACCACTTTCCTGGGGAGTTTGTTCCAGTGCTTGACCACCCTGTCAATAACGAACTTCTGAAGTCCCCCTAATGCAGCTCTAAGCCATTTCCTCATGCCATATTTGGGGGAAAAAAATAATCATTTTAGGGTATATTTATGGCAGAATAATTTTAACAGCATCTGAAAAAACAGGTTAGTAATGGATAGCTGGAGGTACTTTTTAACGAGCTTGTTTCAAAAGGTCATTTTGCTATTGGAACTTAAGTGCCCTGCTTATTCTCTCCTTTCATAAATCAGTATTAAAAATAACAGATGCAGGAAAAAATCTATATACTTTCAAAATCCAGTCCAGTACTGTAATATATATATAATACTGTAATATATAGTAGTAATGTAATATGTACAATATAACACTGTACTATTGGATTGGATTCAGAGCTAACGCAGGCAGAAGACAAAGCTTTCTGAAGTGAATCACTTGTGAGGCTTCACCATTTGCTGAGAGCTTCAGCTTTAAACATCTCTTAGCTGAAAAGTCTTCCCCCAAACTGGGCACAGCCTCCCCTTGCCAGTCCTTAGCTTGGTGGGAAGTCTTCCCCTCAGCTTACACCACCTTGAAGCATGTCTCACAGTACATCAGCTTCACAGGTACTAGCACACAGGGCTGTGCTTCAGTTTGCTGTCTCTGGTTAGTTTTGCTGTCAGCCACCAAAACTAACCTGAATTTGGTATCTTCACTCAAGTCTATCCTGCCATACAACCCCACATGCATAAGGATGAAATAAAGAAAAGATGGTATTTAAAAGAGAAGGCTAAGCTTCACAAGAGACTGCGTTTATGCTTATTTTAACTATCACCACAACTTCAAGGTAAGACAGGCTTGGCCCTGCCATCAAAGGAGGTATTTTCCCTTTGGCTTTTCTTGCTCTTGGAGGAATGTTCTTGCTCCACTCCCTCTGCCATGCTCTGGTGCTTAGCTGACCCTCTGCTGAGCCAAATCAATTTGCTAACCTAGTAGAGCCCTGCCAAAACCATTTTCTGCTGGGTTAACTAATACTCCACTTGACCACATCTTTCAAAGTCACCGTATCTGTTGCATCAGCCAAGCCTGCCTCATCAAGCAGCTCCCAAGTTTGCAACAAGTAATTCCACAGCTGCTTCGGCTGCAGTTGCTTGGCTGCTCCTCTGATGGCAGGGCCAACTTCAGCAGTCCCACCCTTTGGCTCCCACTCTATGCCGCCACTTCGAAGAGCTGACACAACTGCTTGTACAGCCACAGAGCCAACAGGATCAAGGGATGGATTCAGCAGATAGCACAGATGCACTTAACAGCCACACAGGGTCGCTGCCAAGGGCAGTGCACTGTCAGGAAGGAGTGGTGGCACTGCTAAACATGAAGCCACCGCTCACAGTAGTTCTCTTGCTTCAGACCCTAAAGACCTTCTGCTCAGCTGTCTGAAGACTTGGGGAATTGACTAAACCTTTCTTGTGAACACTGTGCTCCCTCCTGATCCTGGGCCAAGGCCCCAAAAGGGGAACTCCAGCCAATTCCTTTAAATCCTAGAGTTTTATTGTCCCATATGGTGACTTGTGGGTGACTGTATCTGGCCCCATCCTCTCCACATCCAAACATCGCAGAAGACCACATTCTTTTAGTTAATGCACTCCCGAACCTCTGAACTAGACCAATTCCATGCACCTTTGTTTCTGTTCCAAGCTTGTGCTGCTTCCTCTGTCCTGCCTCCCTCCCACCAAAAGCTCTTCAAAATAAGTTCTCAACCTTTGTTTTTGCTTCATGTGACATTGTTAATCAGGCACAGTGCTAAGCACATGCAGCTAATGATGATGCTTGAGCATGCTGGGGGCTGTGAAACAGTAATGGCTTTTGACAATCAGTCAAAGCAATGAACAAAATTACAATGCTCTATTTATTTCTGAGAAGCAGGCAGTACAGGCCAGGGCTCAGCCCTTGGAGGAGGTCCAGAGAGGAGAAATGGGTTTGCCCCACAAACACTATCTCTAGATTGTCTCCTTTTCTCCTTTACACTGAGCTCCACTTCTTCCTGTATTGACAAAACCTCTCAATTATAGCTAACTTGAGTAGAAGAATCAAAAGAAGCAGAGATACTTTTCAAGCTATGTCACCAATACAGCAGCGAAATGCTTAAAGTGCTTATTGTCAGAAACTGGAAATAGCTATGTTAACTACATTTCTGACCTGAATTCTTTATTAATGTATTTAATATCATCCGTTTTCAGAAATACAGATACAGAAGCATGTCCAGTGATTTCGTTTTAAAGAACTCCTGGCAATTAATTGGCATATCAGAGATAAAGCTTGTTCCTATCTTTCTTCTGCAGCAGCCAGAAAAAAAGGCAGAGCCAGCACCGCAGCAGATCTGGCCTTGGGCAGAAGTCCAAGCAAACACAGTTTCTAGAAATCAGGATCCCATAGAAATCTATGCAGTTTACTACTGTAACTCAGTGTCTTCTGCTGCTCTCAGCTGGTGCTAATGCATGGGGACCAAAAGTCCCTTAAGTAACTGGATTTCAAACAATTTAAAACTTTATCAACTGAAACCAAATACTTGAAAAATCTGCCCAGCGGCTTTAGCCTAAGTGCAATTCTGTGACAAATGTACTCTATATTCATGTGATATCTCATGATCGAAGAGTTTTTCTCTGTGTAAACAGTTAAAGAAGTCACATATACACTGCAAAAGTAGTTTGCCTTTCTGCTTTGATTTAACGCCAAGGACTGCACAGCTACTATTTCTACTTGAATGGCAAGAATGCTTTAAAATCGAGAGGGTTCTCCCTTTCCAACATAAAACAAAAGAGTCACCCACAATAAAAGTTCATACCTGTCTTTCAATAAATGCATTCATCCTCTGAAGCATTCCCTCACACGTAAATTCATAGGGCAAATAAGGGTCAATCTGTGGAAATACAGTGTGTTAAGGTTACAGGTTTTTCTCTTTAAAGAGCTTTGTGGTGCGCTGTGTGGTAGCAGCTTGTATTCCAAATGCTACACTACAGCCTAAGCAGCAACAATAAAACCAAATAAACTCATTTTAAAATCACAATTTTGTAAAACCATCAGCAGTTTAAGCTGATCTTTTCTTGTTGTAAAGGCAATAAAAGTTGCTCAGTGGTTATTTTAAGGAAACTAATGGCATACTTCAAAGTAATACATACAAAGCCAGCCTGAGACCCTAAGGGATTTCGGAGCTCCTGTTTTAACTAAGTTTCAGTTCTGGAGTTGAAGCGAAAAATGAAACATTAAGACAAAAAAGGAATGTGATACCTTTGAAAATTACTTCAAACTTCCCCCTACACACACACCCTGCCCTTGAAGCGCCCTCATTACAATTCCACACTGTACGTGCACAAGTGCCTCAGTGGCAGGTATGTCAAGGCTACAAAATAGCCAAGAGTTGAGCATGTATTTGGACAGCCTACAGTGCCCTAAGAATCAGCAAGGAAACTTCCTCACTGAATGCACAGAAAACAGACTGCTGTATCATTTACGTATTAAATTCACATTGCTGTAAAATTCACTAATTTTTTCAGGTAAAAACCTGACATACCCACTACTAAATCAAACCATGATAATTTCATACCACAGATACATAATAACATTTTCCCCTGCCCAATATCCTACCAAATTGCAGCACTTTGCTTTAATTAGACTAAGGAGCACTCTACATGTTGTACACAATGCACCCTTAAGTGCAGATGACAAACCGAGGGTACATTTCTCACCTTTTGATTCAAAATTGATTTCACAGCTTTCTCAACTTCAGAAAGATTGTTGATGTCTACAGTCCACACATGGGGCTTCCCAATGTAAACTTCAGCATAGGGATGCTGAGATGTCAACTGAAAAGAAGAAATGATACTAGTAAAAATCAGTGTGTCAAGATGTCCTTCCCTCTCACTCTCTTCATCAGACCTTTTGGATGAAATCTGCTAGGATAACAGAAGTATTCAGCCAGAATCTAACAGCACCATTCCTTCTGAGTTATCTTTCAGATTTTCTGCATTTAAATTTAGAGAGTGAATTTAGCTGGAAAACTGAAGATCAGATAACACAGATCACAAGTAACATTTGTGCCCCTCTAATTTGTGGCTTTGATCCTCATAATGACCCACATCACAGAAGAATTGATGCTTACTGAAATTATGCTTACAATGTGACCCTTTCTCCCCAGAGCTTATTCACAGAGCAACTGTTTTCATAACCCATAATTGCTAGCAGTCCTGGTTAGACCTGCCTGACTGGCTTCAAGAGATGTCATCCTCACCCTGCCTCACCTTCCGACAATGTCTTCACCCTGCCTCTTCTTCAAATTTCAACCATTTCCAAGACTGTGAGTAGCAGAGAATAAAGGATCATTTCTATCATTTAGGATGAATTCTGACTTGCGCTGGTGATAGTGCAAGAGTACTTTGACCTCAGTAAGAGTGTTAACTAGAAAATATTTTACTCACCACTCTGTGAGAAAACAAATTCCATAAATACCCAAGTAGATAACTAAGAAAAGTATCAGAGATTGCTTTCAGAACACGCAGGATGGCACCAAAACTTTTGTGACAGGAGTGAGAACACGCGAATGAACACACTGAGAGGAAGCAAAAGCTGGAGAAGAGAGGGGAGTGTTACACAAGCCTCAGAAGGCAACTGCTTCTTAAGAGATTAAAAACCCCACACCCTACGGGACAGATTATTTGTAGACAATTTTTATACAGTTGCATCTTTATGCATGATACAAAGGAAAATCTAGACAGTGCAAAAGACCTGAAGTAGGAGACAGTTCGTTGGAAAGACCCCTCTCCTGCCCTGGGCAAAGACAGTACTTGGTATCTTCCTCAAGTGAATGTAAGGAAGAACTTTGAAAACAATGTTGCCTATTGCAGTTTGCTTGTGGACAAGAGAAGCCAGTCTTAGAGTTTGATATGGGATCAGCTAGCGGAATTCTGTGCTCTGAGACCAATGCTCCAGGGGGCTCTTTGCAGGTTACACCTTTGGCTGCAGGGCAGTGTGGTGATGAGAGTCCATGGACTGGCTGGAAGACTGCAGGTACTGGGCAGTAACTCAGGATGCTCCTGCACACAGACACAGCTTCCATAGCTGCCCACATTCACTTGCAGCCCCCTGCACCGTGCTCCCATCAGTATATTTTAAATTCCTCCAGACAGCCCAAAGACCCAAAGTGTTTGGGTTACCAAGACTGAGTTCGGAGGGCATTTATGTCTGGACTTCAGATGGCTGAAGCTACAGTCACATTGCTCTCAATAACAATAATAACCTTCTCTGCACCTTTAAAAATATGAACATAAACCACTGTTTTAAATTCCACAAAGCTTTAGGAGTTATGCCTTACACGACTCTTTCTCTACCATTTCATACAAAGAGAGAGCAAAATTCAAGCCAGATCTGATCCGGAAGACAAACAGCTGAGCTTCTCAGACTAGTAGCTGTTTTAAGAGTAACCAGTAACATATTTTTATTGCACCAGTTATTCTGCATCTATACTTAACCAAAAATATTAAGACTATTTCCTAATGCTGAAATGCTTAATTAGCCAAGGCTTAATGAGTTAGATATTCCAGAGATACTCTCTCTCTAACTAAAATCTCTAAGAATTCTTATAAAATAGATTTGGAATTAATTTCTAATTTCAGAATTTCAGATTTATTTTTTTTCCTTCCTTCCTTTCTTCCTCAAAGCAGGAAATGAAAGAAATGACACTCACCAAGAACACATTTCAACTAGATTTATCATACAGTCTTGTCTTTCTTTTGAGGAGAGTGAGTTGGAATGGAGAAGAAATATTGGTACAAATACTGGTACAAAAGAAGCTGCTTGAAGGCGACTTTTTCTTCTTTTGTCCCCCACCTTTTTCCTTCAGCAAAATCATGTCCTAAGACAAAACAACTGCTGAGCTAAAATGCAAATTGCAATTTCCAGTTTTTGTACAGAGTCTTCACTATAGGACCTCATCTTGGGGGGCGAGAGGAAACAACTCCTCAATGACTAGTAAATTCTACCTAGATCAAGACGGAGGTAGTGACTTGCAGTGGTTACATTATGAAAGTGCTAAGCACAGACTTTATCTTCAAATTCATCTGGATAACCACCTTGCAAAACTACACATGCTTTTTTTGTTCTCTTTTAACATGTGAAAAAAACAACTGAGAGAAGGATTTAAGAACTTTCTTAATGCCAAAGAACCAGCAGATGGATTACTGTCAATCAGATCTAAATGCAGTTGTGAAAACCAGTTAAGAGAAAAGGTTACTCATAGCATAGGTCAGCAGAGCATGTGAATGCAAGCATTATTTGTGATGAGTGTTCATTATACTATTTTCTACTTAAGCAGTCAGTAGGGATTATTTTTCCTGTGCAAGTCAGGTGCACAGCATTTCTGTTAGTGCTGACACATGCCAGAGGCATTTAGCACAGCATTCCAAGCACTAAAGTTCCTACTAAAGAGTTAGGTGGGTCCTAACTGAGCCTCATCCATATAGTGTCTGAGCACAGAACAACAGTAACCGAGACAAACAGTCAAACAACCATAGAAGAAAAGCTTTGAAAGGTGCTGTGCCCAAGGAGAAAATTTAAGCAGATTTTTCCTCCCTTATTATTACTGCCTTTGTCAGTGATGCAAGCTGTGAGAATGAGTTTGAACAAATAACAAGCTGAAAGACAGTTACAGGTCTGGATCACAAAATCGTAAGAACCTTATGTTCCTATTTTAAAATATGAAACTGTCTTTTGGTGATCAACTTTGGCACTGCTCAGTAAGCAATTTATACAGCCCAAGTGTAACTTGAATTGGGAAATATGGCTCTCTAAGTTTCTCATATAATCTAAGTGTTAACCTGAGAGCTTTCCCTTCAGATAATTATGCAAAGAAAATAAGCATATACATGTAGGTTGGACCAGATGATCCTTGAGGTCCCTTCCAACCTGGTATTCTATGATTCTATGGTATTCTGTGACCTATGAAGAAGCCATAGTCACAGACACAAGTGCTGTCAGAAATGGCTACATGACTGTTAAATGCTTGCGAGTGGTAGAGGTTGAATTTTACCTACACTGAAGAAAAATATTCTGAAGTCAGTACCAGGATGAGAGGCTCATTTACTTATCCTCATTTTTCTCTTGCTTGAGTCTGAACACACTTGCTGATTTGAAACTTAGAGGTTTGGTTTTCCTGTTGTCTTAAACAGGCAGTTCTCCAAATGTCTTCAGTGTTTAATCACAAACATGATGGGGTGTGACTATTAATAGCTTAGCTCAACAGTGGCTTGAACAGGTCCTTTCTGAGAAAAAACATAATATCCCAAAACACACACCACCACCCACAAATGTCATTTTTATAATTTACTTAAACGCCTATTTACTTCCTGCACAGTACATGGTAATGCTTGTTTCTTCAACAAAATAAAACCACTTTCAAGTGATACATCATGTATCAGATGACACAACCTCTTCCTGGGGAGAAAATCAGGTTTTCAGGTGAAACTTCAGTTTATGAGCTATCAGTAATTAAGAAGCAGAAGGTACATATAGGCAAATCTAGAGATAGAGCTTAACAGTATGTTAATGAGAAATTTTGATTATCTTATAAAAATAAGGACTGACAATCCCACTGATGGCTAAAGAAAACAACAGTTGCACACCTTTTGCCATAAACTGTGAACATTGATTTTTTCCTGCATTGTGTTACTAGAAAGAAATCCACAATCATTGTCAATATAGAAATTATCAAGATTGACAAAGCTTACCTCACGAAGTGTAGGTTTGCCTTTGAAAAACTCTGTGTTTTTGCTACTTTTTGGTGGGTTAAATCTTAAATTTAGAAAAGCGCATCCGTTAGCAATAGCCTCCAAAGGAGCTGGCCCTTCATATGGGAATCCAAGACCAACAAACAGCTGAAAAATACAAAACAAGAGCTGCCTTAATTTTTGTTCTTTACAAAACCTGACAGTTAAGAGCCAACTTAAACAACAATGCACTCTCAATGGACCAGCCTTAAAAAAAAAAAGTAACATTAAGAAGAAAATGGAAGGAATTCAGCAGCTCACCACCCCCCTACCCAAGCAGTTACGGAATGTCCTGCAAAACACATTTGACAACAATCTTCTGTAGTGAGCTGAGGTGGTCTTTCATGGGGCTGAGGCAACAACAGACCCTTTCAGTTACTTTTTGGGAAAAAAGAGTCATTTGGTGGTTTGACTGGTGTTGAAATAGAACTGCTGGGGCTCTCTTGCACGTCCAGGCTTTATTGCAGCAACCTCACGGAACAGCTACACTACTGTTTTCCCCCTCTCTCCCACATTAGCCAACCTGCTGGTTTTGCCAACATGAACATACTCCTGGCAAACTCATTAAGCCTTATAATTAAAACGGTAGATGGCAGCAAACATCAGCTAAAGACACTGTACCTCGGCAAGAGCTTGCACAGGATTAAGAGGGTTCAATGCCACCTCCAAGGTATCAAAGGAGGAAAAAGGCATCACAAAGCTGTTATATCAGCTGAGATTACAGGTGCTCTAGACAAGGCAGTGCTTTTCTCCAATCTAAAGAAATTTTGTATTTTTTCAGAATTGTCTGGCTTTTAGTTAGATCTTGACCCCCTTCCTGGCCCAACATAATTAAACCCCCTGAATCAAATAGAGGATTCTTCATCTTTATTTCTATGCCTGTGTATAATGGGAGAATTACAAGCTCTGATTTATAACAGTAATTTGTCAGCACTGCTACATCATTTTATATATATATGTGTATATATATATATATATATGCACTGCCTTTTTCTTTTCAAGAAAATAAAGAGCAATCTTCACAACTATTAGGATCATGTATTCGGGATGTACGTATTCCAAGAGGTTAAATACTATTCCGCGTTCAATTTTCTGCAATACAGAAGTGAATCCTAGTAACAAAAGATTCAAAACTGAAGGCCCTTTCTAAGAGCTGATCTTAACTTTGATGTATAAAACTGTAGTCAGTATTGTTGTGCACAGGTATTGCAGTATCAATCCTCTCTGACCCATGACAGCAACAGTACAAATTGTGAGTTGGCTCATTTTAAAAAGAAAGTTAACACTTCTTGGCATAGCTGAGGTCATACAATTTTCACTGCATAGAGCTGCATATTGTTAGCTTTCAACTATCAGGTTAAAAAAGTCACCTACTTTCAAAAAGTTTCTCAGCTATCTCATGGATTTAAATCTTACAGTGGCTGATTGAAAAAAAAGATCTGGAAGACTATTTCCATTAAAGTTAGGTTATCTAAATTTGGGTTTCATCTACAGCATAACATATATTACCTTCCAATCAGCAAAACCACATCTTAAATCTCATCTCAAAAGAGGCTTGATTTAAAGAAAGGTAATCTCTCAAAAATAATGAATTACAGACATCAAACCATTTCATGCAATCTGCACACATTTTTTATTTAAACTACGCCTTAGTTCAGGCAGAAAACCAGCTGAGAACCAGCAGTTACAACCATCTTAAGTATCAATTCTCCTATGATCCTGTGTTTGCCTGTTATGTGGAGAATGCTGATTTGTTTGATTAGTTTTTCTCTTTTTTAATAAACTGCTGCTGTGCATTGCTTAACAGTTCTGTGTCTGATTGGTCTATTTATTTAGGAGGAAGCTCCATGGGGAAAGAAACATGGGTTTATGTTTTGTCAGCACAGAGCACACTGTCAGCACTTAATCTATAATAAATAGTTTACCACCTGTTTCACATCCATTTTCCAGCCTTACCTCTAAGCAGCACCATACCTTGAAGAAAGAAAGATGTGTCCGATTGCTAGAATTGTGTATGTGTGCGCACTGCCTGTTGGCCTGAGGTTGCAGCCTGGCCCGCAGCATCCCCTTCTTTCAACCCTCCAAAATCTTCTATCACTCTCCATCATCCCATTGTCATCAAGTCAGCTGAAATTCCCCAGCTGAATTTAGACTCTGCTCCTGAAAATTCCCCTTGATTAACATTCCTTGGTTAGGGACCTAGTATTTTTTTATGGTACAAAGATCAAAACTGAGGAATACCTTAATTGCCTGAAGAAAGTCACATTCATTATGTTCAAAAAAAACAAGCATTAGAGAACACAGATCACTTCTGTAACTCATTCTTACGATGCTCTAATTTGTTAATCCTTTGAATTACACACAGCTTGTTATTTCCAGAAAGGCTAAAACAGTCTGTCAAGATACTTCCTGAAAGCATGCAACATAATGCTGTAAGTCACTGATTGAAAAAAAACTGGGAGAAAAAAAAAAAGGGGGAAAAAAAAGGAAGAAATAACAGGCAACAATTTTCAGGTACCAGGGAAGTAAGCATCCATGTAGAGCTGAGGCCGTGTGGAAGTCAAATCTCTCTCCCAAAAACTGGTAAAGATTTAGAACATACTGCGTTTCCACAATTTTGTGACCTAAATTATTGCCCCCCTCCCAGTGCTGACTATGGTTTTTAGGGTACTCTCTTACTGGACACTATGCCTGGTAACACAGTCCAACATAGAGAGGCACCTTCCCCTCTGAAGGCTGAAGCTCTATAACGCAAAATCTGTAACACAAAACTCCAAAGTTGACAATGTTGGCAATATAACTGTGGGTACATATGGTTCAAAAATTTTAGCCCTGATCTTGCTTTGCTAGCTGCAGCAGAATTGCTATGCAGAGTAGAATTCCTTTCTGCTTTAATGGTTGATTAGTGCTTTAAACCATTTCATTTTCACTATGTGAGCATTTTGCTCACTTTTCAAATGTTTCTGAAAACTAAAACCATTATTTTTCATACAGTGCTTTAAGTGGGCACATGACACAATGGGCTCTGTATTGCTAACACCCCATACAACGAGACGATTACCAGGAGGAGTTTACTGTATAAAAGTCTGTCTAAAGGAGATAACAACAAATAAGTAGAGATGTAAAATCATCACAGTAATGGCAGCATGTTTTGTTTCTATTTTTTTAAACCATTTCCTTGTTTGCAAGGTCACTACCCAGGTGTGCAGGTGCCTGTAGGTTCACATCAATCAGAAAAGGGGTTTCGTATCTGCAGTCTCACTTGCCCAACTTGAGCAAGGCAGGTGTTGAAACCCTTAAGCAGCAATTCTTTGGTTTTCATATGAAAGGCTCCTCAGGAACCTTTTCTACCTTTGCAGAGAACCGAACCCCTGGTTTGGAATTTCAGGCTTTTGAGTTCACCACCCAGCATCAGACCTGCCAAGACACCATTCTTTCCCAGTCATAATGTAAACAGTCCTTTCATGGTGCAGGAGCCAAGTGAAGACTTCTCTGACATAAAAACATGCTTCACAATAACTCCCATTAAAAAACAGTATAGTTTTATTTTTTGGAAACCACTTAGTTGGCCCTAAGCAATTAACTTCTGGAGTTTACAGCACCAGATCAGACTATTATTAAAATGAGAATTTGAACAAACAGCCTTTCTAAATTATAGCCAAAGGGATAAAATAAGGAGTGAATGTTTACTTCACTGACTGTAATTCTGAGTAGCTGAATATTTAAAAGAACAATTTCATATTCCAGAGACTAAATGCTACAGTTCCAGAAAGAGGGGTGTTTATCATCTCCTCTCTGGTTTCTAACATTACTGCACTTTAGCTGATTTATTCTATTGGGTTGGTAGGTTTATCACCACTTCTGCATGCCTCCTGACTGAACTACATATTCTCTTCTGAACTACAGAAAGGGATGTGTAGCAAAGGTTAACTATCTTGATATATTTTTCTCAATATAAAATTATTTCTGGAAAAGTCCTTTTGTGATTGAAACAATTTAGAAAAGAATCACTAGTTAAATGTCTTTTCAAATGATCTTGTGAAGTGTGTGGAAGTGAAAAATGCATTATTTCATAAAAGACAATATGAATCCAACCCTGCAATGGGATTTGTCCCAAACTGTCTAAACAGGGTTTTGCTTCCACTTATTAAAAGAATTTGGATCCCCTCAAAAATTCACAGTGACAGGAAGTACAAAGTTGCATCTGAAACTGTCTCAAGAAGAGGAATATTCTCAAGAATTCAGTAGTGGTTCTTCCAACAGTCTGGTCCAACTCTTCCAGCTGCCCCCTTGGCAAGAAGCCACGTAAGTTGGCAGGAAGGCTGCCAGCTCGCCTACCCTATTTTCCTCTGACGTGATGAATGGCTTTACATCTTCTCATTAGGAACTGTTGACATGTTGCAGTTTTGCCATGCACTACACAGCTGAACTAGTCATGATGAATCTCAAACAGCCCCCTCCTGCTTGGAAAACACACTTACACAGAAATGTGCTGCTTTATAGCACACACCAAAATGAAACGGCAGCTGCATGCTTTTGAGAGTAACTGCATCCTATACTGCAGAGAGACCAAATACGTTCTGGGAATGCAAAGTTCTGATCAAGAATCATGACAGAGCCATCACCTATCAGTATATCGCTGTCTAAGGGCAAAATGAAGCAGTGCAACTGACACTTCTGAGAGCAATGAACTGTGTGATTTTAAAAATTATTATTTAGATCTGGCTTTCTGCAAACTAGCTCATGCCAGCTGACCTAACAAACACTTGCTAACACAATGGTGAAATCACAAGCATTAAAAGACAATCCTTGCCCTTGTGTCTCAAAACATATGTTTAGATAAGAAAAATCTGAAAGTTTCCGGAAGCTTAAAGACATAAGTTGCTGCTTGGAGACAGCACACAGCAGGCCTAGATGGTTCAAATGAGCACTGTACCCACAGATGTTACCATCCTGGAGTAACAGCTCTGATTATTCATGTATTTTCAGCACACTGATTGTCTAGTGACAAAACCCATAACTAAATTCATTATGGGGTTCTGGTCATGTTGCCTAGCGATTAAAGTGATTATGATTAAAAAGTGTCCTTAACCATCACTGGATGCATGTGCACACATGCACACATACATGAGGCTCCTCAGGGCACAAAGCTCCCATTCAAGTCAGCTTGATTTTTGTGAAAAACCTGCACTTCTTTTAGCAATTCAATCCATGATTCATTTGATATAAACACAACTGACCCACACAGGCAGCAGATGGCCAGTAGAGACAGGTGAGTGGTGTTTTATGCTAATCTACATTAAAGTGTTGTCTCAGGATATCAAAATCTGAAACTTAAATGTACAGGCAACAAGAAGATTTCGAACAAGTGTGTCTGTTGATCAACACTGAGAGGCAACCCTATGCTAAGGCGGAACAGCCAGTGTACCTAAGAGATACCAAGCATCAGCTAGCAAATAAAAACAGCAACCTAAAAACCAACCCAAAAATCCGCCTTCAATTGAGAAAGTCCAAACAGATTAGATGGTAAATTTCAGTTTCCACTTTCAATCTCAGGATGCTGCTGTTTTACTTGTTCTGTTAAACTAGTTACATCAGAACAGCGTTAGACAGAATAACTGAGATTAATCCTGCAGTAGACCATATTTAATTTTATTTTGTTGCAACATCAGAAATACACTGCACTCCCATTTGCCTGACAATAGTAAGCGTTAGGAGAAGCAGATGGACACTTGACTGCTTATCATCAGGTCAAAGTTGTGCTAGCCTGGCTGTATCACAAATAAATAATTTTCTCAAAAGGAAAACAGCTTTTGTCATTTGCAAGTCTGCTACCAAAGCTCAGAAAAGCCACCTGAAAATACTATTTGTGGGCTTAATTAAAGAAAAAAGTTTATTAAGAATGATTCTTCCAAAAAGATAATGTGATAAAAACACCGGCTTCCTGATACAAGAGTCTGAAACACACTGAGGTGTTTCTCAGTGCTATCTACTAAGGAAGGTAACAAATTCTCAAAAGATTTCCCCCAGTGTTAGGAATCACAAAAAGAACCCCAAAACAATGCACAAAAGTACAGAAAATCATTAAAAGCTAAAGTGCTTGTAGGACTCTAAAAACAGCACAGTGTAAATGCAGGCTTTTCACAAAAATATAATTTGTGAACAATAAGCAACTCACTGAGCTCAGGAGAACTTCAAAATCACAAGACAGTATCTTCTATCCGATACTGCAATTAGAAGCTGAAAACTGAGTGAAATTAGTCTGGCTACTTCCTGTGTCACAAACCCCATATAACTGCACTGTGTTGATCTGCATAGTATGTATGTATTGGCTGGAATCTGTCCTAAAATGACAGTGTTTTTACACTGCATCTTAGACCACTGCAAATATGACCAATAAGAACTAGATATGCTATCTCTTTGATATTGAAAATCAAGCTCTTTAGTGTAATTCATGTAAGATGACTGATAAAGAATTAGAGGAAGGTTCAGTCAAGTGTAACTGTTACAATAAGCTTTATAAATTGTAAGGACTTCAGTAATTCTATAGGAAGTTCAGGAGCTTATTTTACTAGTCAGTGAATCAAACGCTTTTTTTCTTTTTCTTTCCCCCAGAAGGAAGTCACTGTTTGTGCTTGGGGTTATTAAAATGTCAATATTCTTCCCACGTTAGTACTATGATTAATACCGTGACTTCACAGGCAAGAGCTGTGTAATGTCAGTAGTATCTGTGACGAAAGTAAGTGTTGACTTTTTAATCTGCAACAATGTGTATCTGTGTGCATCAAGTACACCACACACACAGTGGTTGCCTTTAAAAAGTCATAATTCACCAACAGCTGTCACTGTTGGCAAATTTGCCAACAGAGATGTCAAATTACCATCATTTTCCCAAATATTCAAAACTGAGATCTCTGCAGTCATTTTCCTGCTCCGGCAGGGGGATTGGACTAGATGATCTTTTGAGGTCCCTTCCAATCTCTAACATACTGTGATACTGTGATACTGTGATGTGGGAAGATCGGGAGGTGCTTGCTTTTTCCTTTGCCTTTTTTAACAGATTCTTCTGTAGAAGTGCACAGCAAGGAACTATCAACAATGGGGAGTAAGTGCTGCAGTTCCACACATTTTGCTAATTATAAACACACAAATCAGTTCTTTCACCAACTGAAAGTTAAACATCCTATTTAAATGTAAAAACTCTGCTAAAGTGTTTTAATGTTGTAAAGTGCCACAAAGATTATGGGAATGGCACAGAAAAACTCCACAAAGCATTCTAACTATGGGTACAAAAGTTGATTTATTTCAGTCTATATAGTGTCCCTTATCTTGAGTTCCCTTGACTATGAGGTCACAGGCAAAGTACACCACAAAAAGCACACTCTTTTGCTCACTCTCTCTGCACCACTGCAGTAGAGGAAGGAACTGAATGACGAATGAAGTGCTTACTTTTCCTCTTTTCTCCCCTAGAGAGTAGGGTTGCTCCAGGTTAAAGTCATTGGTAGGGCAGAGCAAGCATGCCTACTGTACAGCTGTCAGATATTACCTAATTTTCACATCAGGGATTGCAAAACAAAGCACATTCTCAGCTGATAATCTCCTTGAGCTGAATATCACATTTAAGAAAATGAAATACGTATTTTTCAAGCTGGTTGTTAAATGTGTGTGACTGTAGGTTGTCATCAAAATTTTCTAATAACAGCTGCCAATCCACAAGACATGGACACAAGGAAAAACATATTCTTAGCAGAAGACAACTTAAGCTCCTTTCCATTTGATAATTTATTTTTCTAATACTTTTAAATTAGGAGCTCACTTGTAGGAGGTGAAAAGCATGCACTTCAGATACTGTCTGTCTGTAGCTATTTTTGCCACTACTCCCTCTTGACAAACTTACTTTGGTTTCTCTCAGTAGAAACTGCAAATCCCGCCCACTGAGTATGCCATGGTTTTTTACATAGCCAGGAATATAAATGGTGCTTGTCCCGTGAACAGTTCCATGGACTTCCATATAGGTGTGGATGATGTCCAGGTAAGCCTTCTTATCCTGTAATAGCAACAATAAAATATGTTCAGTCTAATTTATGCTTTTTCAAGCAGTAGTGTTCAAACACAGCTCTTTTTCCATCTCCTGTACCACAAAAGCCAGAAAGAGAAGTTCAGCCATTCTTATATGATTTCTACCTTTCATTAGATTATTAATTTTGTTTTATGTTAGACAGGAAGAAAACAGCATCTTTATTATTCATTGTATAGGTATAAATAAGTACCAAGGTCCTATTAATTTCTAAGCAGACAAAAAACAGGTCACCATTGGACAGCTGTCATCTCAGCACGCCTAAATAATACTTGGCCTAAAACTACAAAAAACCTCATTCTGAGATACTAAATTTTCACTCTGTTTTTGTCAGAGATGCAAAATAATTGTTTATCTTCTTTGTTAAGAAAAGAGTGAATCTCACCTTAGTAAGATACAGTCTTGCCAACTGAGTACACATCTTTATCTGAATACCTAGCAACTGAGCCCCATGAGATACCTACAAATATTCCATTTACCTGAAGTTTTAAAGGCATTTTGGAAAAGAACCAGAAAAGAGTTGCATTAAAAAAAAAATTAAACCAACAAAATCCATCCCAGTTTGCAAACAAGAATTACTTTAATTTTCAATGCCATATGTTTTTTTAGTTTTGAAGACTACTGGTATTCCAAAAGCAATTAGCCGTAGCTTGTATTTACAGGCAGTATGTGACACAGATCAGAAAGTTTTTCCCTCAATATTTGCACATACTCTTAGTAATAGCCTTAAAATCAGGCAACAAGTTCCTGTACTTCTTGGCAGCAAGTGAGTTTTTGATAATTCTACTTTCAGTATTTTTTGTCATGTAAATTCTGTACACTGTTCCTCCACAGCCCTGTATGAAAGCTGGCCAACAATTCTACTGAAGTTCATTCACAGGGTAAGCAGATCGGTGAAAAGCCTGTCTTTTCAAACCTTGGAGGTGAATTAAGGTATCAGCCCTAGGTGAATGAACACTACCACTTCTTAAAACTTCCTTGCTAAGCTAACTACCAGTCTGCATTCAAATACACAAGGTATTTAATGTCACATAACAACTGGCTTCTAGCTTTATCTTGCTCTACTGGTGATACTGTTTGTGATGAGGTAGACTGCCTGCCTCATTATTTAATTGCCCTTTTCTGGTAGCTATGCCAAGACTGCACCAATTAGACAATGTCCTGGGCTAAGTATTACATAAAACTGCCAACAAATGGAGACAAATGTGCTTTCTTATTTTGATGAAAGGCTGCTCTTATTGTTAATTAGCACAATCTATTAAAAAAAAACAACAACCCAACTCTAAAAGCTTGATCCATTTTTTATTTTTCCATTTACTTCAAATTTTGATAACCATGAAAGGTATGTTCCTCCCACTACTTGTAAAATAGCATAAATAGAAACTGTTGAGAACCTCATATACTTTATTAAGAGAAATTCCATTGTAGAACCTTTTCTTTGCAAATGTGCAGGAGAAATTGTAGATTGTAGGTAGATATAGATTGGATATAAGGAAGAAGTGCTTCCCTGTGAGGGTGGCAAGGCAATGGAACAGGTTGCCCAGCGAAGCTGTGGATGCCCCATTTAAGGTATTCAAGGCCAGGTTGGATGGGTCTTTGAGCTACATGTACTACTGACAGAATCTGCCTATAGGAAGAAAACTAATGTACTTGTCTCAGATTTTATTGGCTCATGACACACAAACTGATGACATGAAGGCACTCCAACTCAAGAAAAATGTAAGAAGCAAGCAGCTAGAAAGAAGAAAACCAGGATAACCTAAAACTGCACTTACTAGGATGATTTCAATGATAATTTCACATTTTTTTATTTACCTACTATGAAATAAAATATTTGACATTAAAATTATTTAGTCTTTACAATTTTTCTAACAGTTTCTGAGAAATAGCATTATTGGTTATAGGACTGTTGAAGATTTTATATAGGTTCAAAAAGAAGTTATGGAAGAAAAACCCATGAATCAGTACTGAACAGAGACACACAAATTTTGGCCTAAGAAATCCATGAGCCACTTGTCTCTGGTGGCTGTGAAACACGACTGTTTTCACATTATTCCTTACACATCAAGTTTTGCCTATCTTTGGAATCAGAACAGTGGATTACATAAATCTTTGAGCTGAACTGACCTTGCTGGCATCTTATTTTTATTAGCTTAATTTCAAAGATGAATATGAAATGGACCAAAAGAAATGTAACACTTTCACATGGCTTCTATTTACAGGTGATGCCAATAAAAATCTAGTGGGATTTTGAGAGGCATCTGTGTTATTGTGAAGTTCACTGCCTAAATTCTGCTGAAAACACTCTTTCATTAATACAACAGTCCTTGAATTTAGCCCAAAGTATTCCCCAGATCATTTTGTAAATAACTAAATCTTCCTACTGTATCCATGTGTCCTCTATACAAATACCAGCAGTTGGTTGCTACAAAATGGGGAATACAGGATTAAAAAAAAAAATAAAAAAAAATGAAGGAGTACAAATAAAGACAGGATGAAAAGAACAGGCTTTCATGCTGTATTTACAGTAGTATTTTTCAGAGGCAGAAGGAGGGATTTTGCTTAAACTCTTACAGTTGCAAAAGTATGTTAGAAATATTACTATTAAATTAAATTTAATTAATATAAATTAGATTTTATAGTTAATATTAATATACAACTTATCAATACGATTTAGGAAAACAGAGCAAAAGCACTGATAAATTCAGCATGTTTTAAGCATCTCTGAAAGTACAAACAAAACACTGAAATAACAATCCATAATCTTAATTGGGAACATTACTTAAGCATAAGACTGAATGCTTTCCTGATTCAGAGCATAAAACCAGAGATAAAACATTCAGTATGCCAAAGAGCATCAATTTTTCCACCTATTAACAAAATAATGGACTTCTAAATGGTATTGCTAGGTTTCCACCTCAACAAGACTGGACAACTACTATAGACTCCATTATAGAGCATGCAGAAACAGTTTTTTTCTCACAAAGGAAACCTTATAGATAGATAAGCACAAGTAAAGGGATCAACATGTTAATAAAAAAAGAAAAAAATAATTAGTTTTCAAACCACAGAGTAAAAAGGTGAAAAAAAGTCCACTGCACAAAAGCTGAGAGAAATCTTTCATCCCACAAAGGGCAACCCTCTTTCTTTTAATCAAATGCAATTTTTAAAGAATTGGAACCGAGAGCAGTATCTCCCCTTTGTTCCCTGAACAGAAATTTTTCTAAAAGTCTTCTTACTGAAGGAAACCAGAAAAGGCCCAACCAAAAATTCAGAAAGCACAATCCACAACACTCCTTTGTTCCCTTATACATCTTGAGTCAAAAGTAACTGCTTTTATAAAATATAAAGTACCATAAAAATACCATTAGCAAAATACCTTATACCTTACACAAATCTCAGTCACATTTACCTACTTCTGCATTTAAGAAGTCCTGAATTCCTTGTAGAAAACCGTTATTTCTGATCATGAAAGTATGTCTTGCAATAACCTACTTCACAAAAGTACCCAGGACACATAATTCAATTCTAAACTTTAAAACCATTGAATTAGAAAATGAGAAAGCGTAAATATGGCATTTATAAATAGAAAAGCTACAAGTAAATAAATCAAAAAATGTGATTTGCAAAATACCAATGTTCCTTCAACTGTTAATCCCCTTCCTTGCCTGCTTGGGTGCAGATACAACTTTTATCTTAAATCATTTGACATAAACTTCAGATTTTTACTTTCTCCAAAATGAATTCAAAGAAAAAAAGACCATGGGCTGCTGGCTAGTAATGCAAAAATCAACATTCTCTAAAGAGTTTGTATCAGACTGTACTCTTCACCTCTATCTGTCTGCTATCCATGTGACAAATCTAGACTTCAAGTATGAAAGGCAACATAAAAAAACCCCCAATTTCTCCTCAGAATCAAAAAGGAAACGTAACAGTAATACAAACCTTTTCTGAAACAATTTTTCGGCAGCTACAATAAATGTGCCGCTGAGGAAAGTACTTTTTGTTGATCACTGACTGCAGAACTGTTATTACTATTCATCAGTTATTTCCACCTACTTTTAAAAGCATCATGATAAGGTCTTTCTCATCAAAAGAAATCAAATGACAACTGTCTGGTAAGTCCTCCGCTAGGACAATATTGACAAGATGACAATCTGAAGTGTTGAAATTTTTGAGTTTGGTGAGTGAAAAATTTAAGTATAAAAGCTACAAAAAATACACTGTAGAAACATGATGCATTAAGATCTAAATTTTGTGTATATTCTAAATGCACACTGTTAATCTAGAAATCCTAACATCTTGGTGATTATTTGCTAAAGCATCAAGTCCATGGTAAGCCAAAATCCAGTGTATATGCAATGTATGACAGCTGACATTGTGACACAAAACATAAGATTGGAAAATCTCTTTTTCTCTTTCCAAGAACTGTCACACTCTCAAAGACTTTTCAAGACATCCTTGAATAATGAAAATCCCATCCCACTGGGGAACTGGAAGAAAGCACAAATGATGCAGAATTCAAGGTACAATATTAAGGCACTTAAATGGATACAGTGTTTAACTGTACCAGTTTTACAATGGTAAATCACAAGGAGTAGATGATTTTGGAGCTCAAATATGAAATTTTCAAACTGCTAACTGCAGAGTACTTAATGCAGAGTACTGAATTTATAAATGGATCTGAAGAAGATGCAGTGACTCATGACTAGCAAGTATGAATTCCACACTGTAATTCTCTGAAACTTAAATAAAATGTTAACTATATAACCATGTAAACCCAACAAAATTGCAATAGTCAATTATTTCTGTACAAGGAAATCCTCTCTCACCAAATTGGTAGTGTTCTTTGAAGAAGCCAATCAACAACTGTTCAAGCATTCTTAAAGGAACAAAATCTCTTTGGGATAGAAGGGTATCAGTCTTGTGAATTAATAGTCATAATGCGAAAGGGAACAGAGAAGTGATGA